GTATATGAAAAGCTGATTGCTTCGCTTGGGCTGGTGGCCTAGCCTCCTTTCCATGAGGGTGAAAGCTTAACTACTCCAGCGTTTATAGTCCTGTTGCGGTTTCTTTTGCATAGGAGAAAGGACAAACAGGTTCTCCCATTATTCAGTAGGAAGGTAGATCAACATGATGTAACGCAAAGAACCACTGGTTACACCCTCAGAAGTTTAAGCAGCATGGAGGCGCATGTGTCACCACATAGAGTTGGCTGCTCATCACCCCAGTGAGCTCTGCAGGGAGAAGACAGCCCAGCCTAGCTGGTGTATCCATGAGAGGTCCCGGCTTTCCTTTCTGAAGGAAGCAGGTGTCGCAAAGAGCGGGGCAAATCAGCACAGCAGGCTGTGTTCACAGGGTTATTGAATGCAGCAGTTAGATTGTTGATTAATCTGAAGCGGTTTATGTCATGATTTCACAAGTGCTTGTGGTAGTGCTGTCAAATGACAAGGGCTAATACCAGTGTCTGTAGTGGGGTTTTCTTTTCTTACACTGTATAATTAAATTTCACACAGATCTTTGTTAGTATGTGAAGTATTAATAATCTGTATCTTGTATCCTGGAGTACGTACTCTGTATGTGATTGCTTTTATGTTATTCTTTTTCTATGTGTAGCAACATACAGGAACCCAGAGCTTGAACATGTAGCAACAGAAGACGAACTAGCAAAAATACAGGCATATAAACATAAGTTAGCAGTCATCGGTGAGGTACTTTCACGGAGACACATGAAAGTGGCATTTTTTGGCAGGTAATGAAAGGATTACCGGAACTTAATTTAATCTTTTTTTTGTTTCTTTTGCAGGGGTTAGTGTCCGTATTTCTAATTTAAATGCATTGGAATTAGTGCTTCATCGTAGAGTTATTGTTTGAAATATAATACATAAAACCGTGTTCACTCTTACCTACTTGATGCTGAATATTTCTTTGATGCCATCTTGCTTCGTGACTGTAGATTAATTATGTATGTCTTGTTACATATTTTTCATTGATAAACTTTGTAAAATAATTATCCTGTGTAGATCCATTATTTGACTTAGGAAGGTCTGAGTTTGTTGTCATCTTCTCCAGAATGGCTTTTCTTTTTTTAACATGGTGGTTTTGTTTGTTTAATACCTTTGTTTTACTGGACTATTACTGTTGAGAACTTTTGTTTGTATTTGATCACAAGTACTGAAAAACTGAACTTTGAGCTGTTTGTGTTTCTGTATATAAGCAGCTGAAGGAAAATAGACAGTTAGAGACGGTTGCCTTGTTGGTTGTATCATTAGTCCGATAGATCTGTGTGGTGATTATAAGGGATAACAGTAACAATGTACTGTACAGCTTACAGATCAATCTGAATGAAGCTATGAATTTCTGCTTTCCTGAATCACTAATTAGGAAAAATTCTAGTTCACAGTCCTCAGTGGTATTACTACAGACCAAGTGTCAAACCTTTTGCGTATTTTGTTAGCATTTCCAAAGTTATGGGTGATTTAAATTCACTTCTGTTCTAAAAGAAATGTATTTTCAGTATTAGAAAATTTTTAACTTTAGTCAGCTTGGGATCATCTCAGCTGTATTTTTTTTATTTTTGCGGCAGGAAAAAAGGGAGTTAAAAAGAAAGGTATTCGTTGCACCTGAAATGTGTTACGACATAAGTATTCTAAAGAGTTGCTGTCAGGTGTATAGGCACAAAGCACTGAGGTTTTATGTGTGTCTGCTTGTATGTATTGTGTTTTGCATTTCAGTCTCATCTTAGTGGAAGAGTCTTTAAGTTTTCAGTGAGAAATTTTGATTGGGTCTTGACACTTCCAATAAAAGTCTGCATTCCAAAAATTGTGCTATTCTGTTCCTATAAAATTTGGAGAGTATAGAAAGATGATGAAAATCCGCCTTACCGAATGTGAAGTCAGATATAAAATAGTGAAGTCCTCCTAAAAGACTATGGTTCCAGTGCTTTCAAGTGCTTTTATGTGCCTGGTTAGTCTGGGGTCCGTTAGTCCACTTTGCTTCAGGAAGATTGATTTTCCTGTGCTTAAATTTGAGCGTGTGGTTACATATTTTTTCTAGAGTATGGCTATTCATGTTTTAGTTCTAAAAATTCTGTAATAGTATTGGGGAAAAAAGTGTACAACAGTGGTCTTACCTTCATTTTACTAAAAATAGTTTAGCTATTTAAAGAAAAACAATAAAAGGATCTGGGGCAAAGAAATTAGTTATATTTGAGACTTGATATTTCACAAAGTTAAAAGTTGAATACGTTTACAAGCTGCAATGTGTGATAAAAGTTGCTTTTGCAAAGGGCAGAAGTTCAGAGCAGGAAAAAGAATTTAACTCTCCCTCTGACATTTTGAATAAATTTGTAAACTGTTGTACAGTGAACACTGAACTTTTTCTAGAAGTAGCAGCTCAAAAATGAGTTATAGTCTATGTAACTTTATACTGTTGTGTAATAGTTTAAAGCTCAAATATTTATGGGTGAGGGGTGGAGGTTTAGTGTGAAATAGGACGTTGCTGAGAACTTCAAGTTCTTGCAGAATCTTGAGTTGGTCACCAGTTCCTTTTAATCAACAGGGTTTTGGTTAATTTAGCTACCTCTTCCTTCTGAAATAAGGACAAGACTAAGTTTCATTGTTAAAGACAGCATTTGCATTATAAGAATTATGCACAAGAAATAAATTTGAGGGGGTTTTGCACATTGTTACACGTCTTACTGTAGGAATTTTCATTCAGTTGAGATTATCATCCATTAAATTGTTCTGAGTTGTCATTGCTGGGTGTCATTGCTGGGTGTAATGAGAATTCCCAGACAGCAATGCTTTGAAACGTATCTGAAGGCAGTAGTACAGCGATGTTCCTTTTGTACCTCATCTCATGCCTAGAAGACTCCATCAGAAGCAGCAGTTCCTTTCTGACTAGTAAAGATCAGATGTTTCTCTAAAGACAGGTTAAGTTGCTGAGATGGTAATTTCGCAAACGTTTTAGGGAATCACCATTGATTGCCACCATAGAGGGTAGTCCTTCCCTGCCCCTGTCATGCAGCATTCTCCTTGTGTCCTTCAGCATCCCTGGAATTCCTTTAGCTTTGCTGTGAGCGGGAATGTGGAATTGTTGTCTGATCAGAACATAATTCTGCCCAAAATGTTACATATATTTTCAATCCATTCTTTTCTACAGGCATGCTAGGGCTGGCACAAAGAAGAGGGCAGGCTGCCCCCTTATGTGGGACAGCGTGTTGTGACTTACCAATTGCTTTAAGTTGATCTAAGGCATCTTTTTATGCTAGATGCTTTTTCTGGTCTAGCAAAGTTGAGCCAATATCTTTTACAAATTCGTTACGCACATTGAGGTATACCAGATAAATCATACTTGCCAGTACAGGCTGGGCTTGTTGAGCCAGTATGTGTTATACAAATCAAAATTGGTTTTCTTGGTTGGATAGGCAATGTTGATACCATGAAAGATTTTTGAATTGCTATTCAGATGAACTTCTCCTGCACTCCCTGTTCTTTTCTGGCAAGCTGTGCTGTACTGGCTTGAAGCTCTGTCACCCAAAACAGCTTGCAGTATGTGGGTCTGATGCAGTTAAATGGGGGTGCATTCAGTTCAAAACTAAGGTATGTGTAATGTTGCTGTACTGTGCTCAGAGTGCTCTTATTTTCTATCCCTCTAGAACAAGCAGCGGGAAAAGTTCGGTCATTAATGCGATGCTTTGGGATAAGGTACTTCCTAGTGGGATTGGCCATACAACTAACTGCTTTCTCAGTGTGGAAGGGACAGATGGAGATAAGGCTTATCTTATGACAGAAGGATCAGATGAAAAGAAGAGTGTCAAGGTACGGTTTTTGAATGATTAATGCTACTTTTCACAGTAACTATTTCTCAAAAGATCTATCTTTTAACAATGATTTCAGGTCTAATGAAAAGTATAAGGTTAACTCATTCTGCATTTTTAAGCTCTTATTTAGGAGGGAATAACTAACAAACTAAAATGGTCAACTTCACAGTTTTTCTTGGATATTTCAGAGAAACAACTAATGTGTGTCTGTAGCATAGCATATGTTGAGTGATCTATTTTTATAGGACTGAGAGTAAGTTCTGTTACTTGTTAACAATTAGGAATGTGCCTCTCATTTGGCCTTATGGTGCTTAGCTTATTTAGCTGCTCACACTGATATGTTAAACCTCTGAGGCAAATTCATGATGATGCTCAGTATCATGCAGTCTAGCCCTGTAAGGAATACCACTTTGTGGCTCCAAAGAAACTCCTGTCTGAGTTTCAAGGCACAACTCATTCTTTAGATGCTGGTGAGTCTAAGAGGTTAAAAAAATAAAAATCACAAGTATTCACCAGAAGGAAGTATGAACTCTCTTACCCTGTTCAAGATAGATCCTGTCCGGGTTTGCTTGAGAACCAAATTAGGCTGGTATACAGACTTGTTTGTGATGCATATTCATGTTTGTCTTCTCTTTATAGACAGTCAATCAGCTTGCTCATGCACTTCACATGGATAAAGATTTGCAAGCTGGCTGCCTCGTCCATGTCTTTTGGCCCAAGTCAAAGTGTGCCCTGCTGAGAGATGATTTGGTTTTAGTGGACAGGTATGTTTTCTGTTTTAGTAAATATTTTCTTAAATAAATTAGCCATTACAGTGTTTAGAAAAGAGACTGGTTTACTGATTGGTGGTGTCTTGTTTGTTAGGTTGCCAAATTATTGAAAAGCTTTTTTTTTTTGCCTTTTTCTTTTTTTCTTTGGGGAGTACAGAGTTTGTTCTTTGGTGTATACTGCTGCCTGTCACCACCCCACTGATTTTGGCCTTGTAACAGTTGGAACAAACAAGTGTCTTGTGATTGAGCTGAATAAGGGACTAGCTTTTGGCTGAGGATACTTCCACCTTTAAAACAGTATGGAAGTGTGAATAGGGTTGTTGCAGCAACAACCTTTTGCCCATCTCCTGTCTTTAAACACTTCAGACTGATCATGGGAAGTATAAGCAATCTGGACTTCACTTCTAAAAGCTTCTGATAAGAGTTGCAGTGCCTACGTATCAAAGTAATGGGTGACCTGAAGACGTAATTGTGACTGTCATCTGTGTGTGCCTGTGTGTTGGGCCAACATTTCCTACAGTTTGTGTATTTAAAGAATTCTGAAAGCTGGGGTTTTGCCTATGTCAAATGCCCATGTTTCCGGCTGGTTTGGGGTATGACCTGATGATATTTTTTCAAACCGTTAGGTGATCTATGCCTGATGTGTGACTCAATATAGATTGAATTTGTGAGTAATTCACTCGAGTATGAGTGAATTTGTAAGTATGATTTCTTCATATCCAGCAAAATAACATCCCGAGTGTATTTTGATGAATCGTAGTGCTTTTTGTTGCATCTCTAATCTTACACCTTTGAAATCACTGGGAGTTCGTCATTATTTTCTTGGGTGCAAGCTCAGGTCCTGTTAGTCACAGAAAAAGCCAGCCTGGCTGGCACAGGGAGCTGGTTGGTTTGATGCACTGCTGGACTTCTTGTGCAGTTGTGCTGTCTCCTTGGGGACATGTGCATAGCACAAGTGTGCTGGAAGCCCAGAAGGGATCCTTGCATAGATATGATATAAGGCATGATTTGATCTGCACAGTCTTGGTTGCTAAAGGTGAAATGTAAAGGGAAAAGAAAACAGCCTGGAATCTGAGAGAACAGGTAGTTTTAAGGAGAAAATCATCTTTTTACTGTTAAATAGAGCAAATTAGAACTAGCAATAATTGCGATGTTGCAAAATGACATAATGCTCATATTCCACTTATTTTTGAAAAACTGACAGCACTGTAGTTCTAGCTTCATTTTAATTTGTTATTAAATCTACGCACAGCTTGTATAGCATATCACTTTAAAGAAGGCCTTGATTAACGGAAAAAATATTTTATGAACAACTGTCCTTTTTGATTAAAATCTAAAGCTTGGAATATGGGGAGGGGGACCATTCTGTGGGACTGCCTGGATTTCTGACAGACTGCCTGTCACTTTTCTTGGCTATTATGCTCTGCATATTTATTGATTAGAAATTGCATTTTGGAATGAGCAGATGGTCCAGTGAGTGAGTGACTGATAAATGCTAAATGGTAATTGGCTTTTGCTATGTTTTGCATTAAGCTTGAGTTAAGCATCAGTCTAAAGATACAAAGCTTTGGATCTTCTTGCAAGGTCCTTAGGCAATCCCACTCTATTTTTATCAGTTTCTAAAAATCAGGTGCTCCTTTGCTGGATAAATATGAGTTTGTGTTTTTTTTATTCTCAACAGCCCTGGCACAGATGTCACTACAGAACTGGACAGCTGGATTGACAAATTCTGCTTAGATGCTGATGTGTTTGTCTTGGTTGCCAATTCTGAATCAACTCTCATGAACACGGTATGATGTGCAATGATTTTATGTTACTTCTTCATTTAAATACCCAGCAGTTCCATAACTGAAATGGCTTCTCTTAGACCTTTATTGAAGCTCCCATGAATTGTTGCACTTGGATCTTGTGAATAGGATTTGGGGGTGGGAGGCAGGAGACAATGTAAATCCCTCACTAGGGAAAGGAGAACCAGGTTTCTTACCAGCTTTGTTTACTCTGACTTGAGCATCACATTTGTCCTTTCTATCTTAGTTTCTTTTTTGATAAATGGATGATGTAGTGCTCGTCTCACTTTACAGTTTGTCGATATTTGTTAGCTGAAGATACTTGTATTATCAAAGAAATAAATTATGGAGTATTTCATATCCAGAAGTTCAGTAAAATATACAAAGTAGGTGAAGGAAGTTGAATTTCTGTCTTGTTCCTCATGTGTTCTTGTCTCAGAAGAGGGTGAATTCCCTTGATGCACCCTGTGTTGAGGACAAGTGCTACAGGTTGCCCTCGTTGGACTGTGTTTCTTCTGAAAATGCTAGCAATAAGCATTCATGTTGCGTGGTTCTGTGCAACATGGAGAGCTGAAGATGTTTTAACAACTTTATTCTATAAAGCCTTGTTTCAAGAGAGAGAAGACTTCTGTATACCTTGCAGCCTAAATATTGTATGACTCATAGAAGGACAGCATACAAGGTAGCCAAAGGAGCTCAAAATACAAGACCAGATATTTGCTTTAATTTTGTAGTGATCTCCAGTTTTGACTAAACTAAGTATTGCGAATGCAGTCAATATCAATATAAGGTTTCTAAGTTATTGGAAGTGGGACTGCCGGAATGTAGTGTAATGCTACTGAGAAATCTCTTGAAGACTTCTATTAAGCCTACTGTAGACAAATAAAATGCTCTGATTGTTCTGAGATAGTTCTGACATGCAGTGTCTGAACTTTCTAATTATTGAGGCAATTTTTAATACAATAAAGAACTGAATATACAAAGACAGTATTTCCTTGCATTGTAGCAAATTAGAATAGTTTGGTAGAAATCTGAGAAGAACATAAAGTGAGTGTAAAAACATTACATTCCGTCGTCTTAGCCGAATCCACAAAGACTCAAATGCAAAAGAGATGTGATTTAAAAGGCAAAGAAAGAAGATTCTGACAACATCCAAGGCAAACAGAGGATTTGGCACAACTATGGCTTTATCATTTTCATTGTGTCACGTGAAGGATGCTTTTTGGCTTTTAATATGGAGGGAGTCTAGAAATTGTTTGCATTATGTGCATACCGTAGTTGGTTTGGGTTTTTTAATTTAAAAAAGGAAGAAGAAAAAAAGATTGGGTTTTAGTGAACACCTCGTTACTACATAAAAACGTGGAAACAATAGGGACCTGCGTGCCACATTTCAGTTTGGTGTAATGAAGTAACAGAGAAAAGGCCAAATTCGATTTGGTGTTCTCATTTGCTCAGGAGAAATGAACCATTAAAAACAATCTGACTGAGATAGTAAATATGCAGGAAAGACGTATAGGCTGTACGTCTACTGGAAGATTCTGTTAATTTTATATTTGTCTGATCCTTAACACCCAGTCACACAAGTGCTACTCTGCTTTTTAATGTGATTTTTGGCCAATCTTTGTTCCTTGTCGGGCATGGCTGAAAGCTGCTAAATAGAAATAGGTTAGTTTTGCAATTTGGTTGAAGCATTAATGTCTTGCTGAGTTTTTTTGGTTGCCATGCCTATAAATCCTCACTTAACACTGAGCACTGTGTAATTATTAGAATCTGGAAATAACCAGTGTCCAGGGTGTATATTGGAGGGAAAGGAAATAGATCTTAGTTGTGAATTGAGGCTTTGGCTCAGTAAACAGCGCTCTTACTCTTTCTCCTTTTTAGTTCTTTCAGCCTGCTAGATACAAATGAAGTTGCCTTTGTAACTGCTCTAAAGCATTTGTATTTTGCTTTGCATTGTGGCAAATGGTAATTTCTTTCTTCATCTACACAAGTTTATCCTTCATGTAAAGCATATGATAACTATGTTCTCATCCTCCTTAGGCATTATTTTTTACCTCTTACCATAACAGGTTTGAGAATATTTGGCAGCTGCTACATAACCACATATTTTTTTTGCATAAATGCGATTTTTCTAATATTCCTTCATAAATTCTCTTCAGACAAAGTTCTTATTTCTGCAACAGTAGTCTTGTTTACACATACATTAGTCTCCATCAGCCGGGGAGTAAGCATCTCCAGTGTTGTGTCCAGAATATGTGGTGGTGTCCTGCTGCAGATTCAAAAAGCTTATGGCAGCACAGAGATCTCTTCTGTTTGAGCTGTGCTGGGTGGGGATTCGCTCCATCACGACTTACCCATTATGTCTATGGAAACAGCAATGATGGGTGGTCGGTATGGGCAAGAGACCTAAATACATTTTCAGGTACATGCATGTCTTATTTTTAAAATTAAAACATTCAGCAGTGACTTTCCTTGTGGCTCAAGCTATACATCCTCCTCATATAGGAAATGTAACTTGTCTATAGTTGAAGCTGACATTGCCTAGTTGAAGAATATAGTTAGAGGGTGTTTTTCTGGATATAGAAACTGGATTTGGCAGGGTAAACAGGAGCATCTTGGTAGTTCAAATAAGGAAGACTTCACAGTTTTAGCCAGGCGTCTTACTTAAAAAACAAAATGAGCCAATATAGTCATGTTTTGTGTGGTTTTTCCCTTCCTCTCTTCCCACACAATATTTTTGAGTGTCACACAATTGCAAACAAATTTAATAGAGGGCTAGAAGTATCAAAGGAGATGAAGTTTTGTGACAGTAAGAGTGAAAGAATGAGAAAAAAAAAAAAAAAAAAAAAAAAAAAAAAAAAAAAAAAAAAAAAAAAAAAAAAAAAAAAAAAAAAAAAAAAAAAAAAAAAAAAAAAAAAAAAAAAAGACAGTGAATGATGTGATAAATGATGTGATAGATTTATAGAAGAATAGACTTTCTTTTCCAGTGTTTTCTAAACTATTTGTTTTGGAAGTTTTCTTAATTTGTATTTGTGCCTACTTGTAGAAAAGCTTGCAGTATCTTTGACTTTTAGCATTGGCATCAGTTTTATTTGATGACTTTTGAACTATCATAAGTCTTTTTTTGTGTTGGATATCTGTGGTTTTTAATGCTAATGTATTCTTTTAAATACATTTTTAAAAAGCTGGATTAACTTCAGAATCTGTTACAGAAGAATGTGTGACTCTGGTTTGGATGTCTGGGGAGTTTTCTGTTTGTGCTTTAATTCTTAGGAAAAACATTTTTTCCATAAAGTGAACGAGCGACTTTCCAAGCCAAACATCTTCATCTTGAATAATAGATGGGATGCCTCCGCATCAGAACCCGAATATATGGAAGATGTGAGTGACTTGATGGCTCTTATTTGGGTGTTGTGGGGTTTTTTTTTTTAATATATATGTATATATAGATAGATATATAAAGAAAAGGCCTCCACATGCATAAAAGCATGCTAAATTGCCTAGGTAATACAGTTATTAACATGAAAACACCAGCTTTGTCTTAGTAATAAAAGGATAAATTATTTGGTCAGAAAATGGAAATAACTTATTCCTTGTTCAGAGCAAAAAGCCACCTGCAGTTCAAACTACAATATATGCAGGCAGGTAATACAATGGGAAGCTTGTTTAGAACCTTGTTTAAAGGTTGTTTTAAATCTTTGTATTACCTTTTATTTCTGTAATGTTAATGCAGCCTGAGGGTACAGATTACACATGTATACATGCGTAGAGTAGCTGGCAAAGTACAGTGTTAGATGGTAACAGTTCAGCGTGCTCTTCAGATCTTTCCAACGGCAACTAGCTTACATAAATACAGGCAGTTGTAGAAGAAAGTATTGTTGCTTCCGGGGCTGTTTAAATGGTTAAAAGCAGCTGCTGCATCAGTGGGATTAGAAGGCATCTGCTATCTAAGGGGTTGTCCAGCGTCTGTTTCTGACTCTGATGTTCTGATTTGATGACGGCTCAATTTTTGCATTTTTCTCATGAGCTTTTTACCTTTTCCTCAGGTGCGTAGGCAGCACATGGAGCGCTGTCTGACTTTTCTAGTTGATGAGCTCAAAGTTATTGATCCTGTAGAAGCGAGGAATCGCATCTTTTTTGTTTCAGCAAAAGAAGTTCTGAGTGCCAGGAGACAGAAGGCCCAAGGAATGCCAGAGGGTGGTGTGTAGGAACTCTTGCTTTTCCTCAAATACAGAAAAATATTGTAAAACGTGATAAACAAAAATATTTGAGATACAGTCACTGCTGAGAGGTATTGCTCTCTCCCTTATGGTCTGTTATGTTTCACAGGTGGAGCGCTTGCTGAAGGATTTCAAACAAGATTCCAGGAATTTCAACATTTTGAGCAGATATTTGAGGTATTTGTGATGGGCTTCTTAGGCTGCCTGTTTTTTAATGTAAAGGTTTTGTTTATGCTTAGCTTAATTTTACTGAACACTACCCGTGTTAACAGGTGGAGGAGTGTAAGGTATTCAAACCACGTGACTGTGGGCTCTGTTCATCTGTTCTCACCTTGAATAGCAGGTAGTCATTGGAAAAACAAGTATTGTTCAGTGAGGGAAAGGACCAAAACTGGACTCTCATCTCATGTTGAGACCTCAGTATGAATACAGTCTATATAAAAAGAGACGATGCTCTTAGAAGGGAGTGTTATCGCTTAGAACCGTGAGCTCGTGAAATGTTTGCTGGATGGTAAGCCTTACTTTGTTCTGAAGTTGTAGCTTTGTAATTAATTATTGTAATTCAGGACACAAATAGTAAGAAATTCTTTCACCAATGTAAGTCTAAGTATTTACTTGCATTTTTAAAGCCAGAGTTTTGAAATTGTCACCATTGTCTACCTCTTAGCTCTGATACTCTGAACACTAACACTATTTTTGTAACCTTGTTGCTGTACAGAATCCATCCTTCACCCTCAGTTCACCTATATTCATAGTTGGAGTTTACAGTTTCTTCAGAAGTTGGACTGGCTAGACAATTGAGTAATTTTTTTGTGATAGGATCCATTTGTCTTGCTGAATTTGATAACTCTAATTAAAGCCATTCTTGGATATCTTAAGGAGGCATTTTGGATATGCCTTGATGGTTTTGCATGGTATGTATCGGCATATTTCACACAACATGAGCCTGAACAGTATGACTGTAGTTTGTATACAGCAAATGTTCAAGACTGCTCTTGCATGCTTCAATCAGTAATTCCTGTTTAGTATATTTTAAAAAAATCTAACTGCCTCTGAAAAGTATTTCTTCTCTCATTACAAGTCCATTTGACCTTAGCAAAACTGAGTCATGTAATGATGTGTGTGTATCAAAAAGGTGTTAAAATAACAGCTTGATATTCAGTCTTGCAAAAGCAAGAAAATGTCAGACTAAAGTTTAAATTTAATCCTTATCCACACTCTTATGATAGATGACTGAGTTGATGAAATGATTGGTTCAGAATACTGGCAGGGCCTGAGTCCATGAGGCATGAAATTTCTTGCTTGTGTCACTAGTGGTAGCCAAACATGCGTTTTTGTTTGTAATTTTTGTCCTTAGAATTATAGTAGGAAACTTTCAAGCAGTAGGAAAAAAGTGGAAATTAAGTTTCTGAATCAGTTATTGTTCTTTAACATATTTTGCCATGTGCTATACCCAAAGCTTTTTTGACAAAATCTCTTACAATTACAGTTAAGCGCTGAACACTTAGGATATTTCAAGATTAAGATGGACGTATGACTTATTAAATGATGTGATGCTGTAAGTGCTCAGCACACTTGTAAATCAGACGTCACAGTCTCGAGTTGGCCACCAAAATGAGAAACATCCATCACAAGGTCACAACCGTGACAAGTTTCTTTGGCAGAGGCAGGGACAAAAAACAATTCTGTTACGGCACTGAACGGCCTTAAAACAACTTTTTTCTTCTTTCACATTATCTGTTTCACTTGTTGCACACCTTCCGACTCCAACAGTGAGAGTGGATTCTGTAATGTTTTTCCCTGTTCAGCCATGTTTCATCCTGAAATCATAATGAATGGCTTTGAATAGGAGTGTGATCACATCACTTAAAGAGCATGACAACATGTGCTAAATTAAGATTGCCAAAGTAATTTGAATTTTGAGTGTCTGGTGTTGCAGCCTCTTTCACATTCAGGTTTTGTGAGCAATTCCTAAGTTATAATGGCATTTTATTTGTTTTTAAAGCAAGGCTGATACTTAAATCGTTCACCAGGTCTGAACTCTTCAGACCTAATACTCAAATTACTGTCACTTGAGCTGATAAAGTAACTGATGAAAATAGCATGCTGGTGTCAGTTATGTTTACCAGCACTAGGCTATACCAGCTCATATATTAATGAAGAATATTGTACATCAGGTAGAATTTTCTGTGTTCAGTCTGGGAACGAAATCCTACTTGATACCATGCTTTATGCACTGCTAGACCAAATTCAGATGCTGTGAGTAGTCTAAGCACTTCTGGCTAAAGTGCTTTGCATTTACTCTGTTTCCTGACAGAGGAGCTGCAAGTCCTAAGACCCATGGATTACACTCCAGTCTGTGAAAGGGAAGGGACAAGAGCACAGACGCTGTTCTGTCTGTCTGTCCACTGACCCCTTCTCTGCTTCAGTCTGTCTGTCTTGCCTTCAGCTCCTTGTCCTGTTCAGGTGCCCTGCTCAGGCTTTCCAAACGTCTCTTGCGCTCTTTCGTCCAGTTCACATCTCTAAGCTATCTCATCACCTCATTTACAAACCTGTCCACACGTTCCATGTTCCCACTGGCTGTATCTGCTGGTTTTGCTCCTCCTCGATTCTCTCACCTTGCTTTTGTCTTCACTAAAATTGGACAGCTTCTTCCTCTTCTCCACAAGGGCTGAGGGGAGGAACTGTTACTTGTCCAGTACTTCCACATTCCTGATTTTAGTATCAGTTCCGTGATGGGAAAGCCTGTTCATCCCAGGACTGATATGAGCTCAGTATAGCTAGAATCATAAAAAAAAAATCTAGAAACAACCCATCAGTGCTAGTTTGTTGTGATACGGGAAAAATTTGGACCACTTTTGAAAGGTTTGTAACTACATTTATGTAGACTTTCGTGTGAGGGCAAAAGTCATTCCAAAAATAGATATAACACGTTCTTCTGCAAAGCACAGGGCGGTTAAAGTTGCTAAAAGAAAAACTGGTCCAGGCGTTAGTAGAAACACTTGTAAGCAGTGGTGAGATGAAGATTTTTAAAGGTTCAGGTAGTAGCGTTAAAAAGTGATGTTACTATGTATGTCAGCTGTGTTACAACAAAGAAAAAAAGATATGCAGTCTTAAAGGAAAGGGTTGGATTAGTGGATCAATTCTGAATTTTTATATTGTGGAATAACAGAAAGTAGCCTGTGTATCTTTCTTCTGAAATTTTACAATGAGATACATAGAAATGCCTTATCGAAACAGCAAAGAAGTGCATGCACAGTGCACTGTGTGCAGTAGTCCTTAGTGGATATTCTACATAAAACCAAACCCCACTATGCCTCAGGTTGTAGTGTTTCCCAAGTTTCTTCAAAAAACTGGTAACAGACATGTTGTGGGGAGGAGTGGAGGAGGGAGGCAGGGCGGAATAGTAATTCTGGCTGTAAATTGGGGTGAATAACACAGCCTGAATTAGTACACTACCGCAGAGTCCTTCCCTAACTGCACGGGAATGTAATAAGCTGTGTGCTTAAAGGCTATCTTGCTATACTGGAAGTGGGCTGGAAGGTAACTGGTTTTGGTTACGCTGTTGAAACATACCTTTTCTCTTTGTTTCGATAAATACATATTTACAGACTAACAGCAAAACTGCTGCTGTCCCCCTTTTATCTTTCCCAGTCGTGTAACTAACCTTTGTGTTTTTCCTAGTGCTCTAACTTGGATTTTCTGATTGTGTTGTGAGTGACTGTCATCCTTTTATCTACCACATACTAATGTTCGGAAGACTCTTTCCTCTGTGTCTAGTCTAGCTCTTACAATGTGCTGATATTTATGAAACTCTGGCCTTTCATTGCTGATTTCTAGATCTACTTCATCGAGGAACAGGGAATACATTTCACCCATTTTGTTTATTTTGTTTTGATCTATTATTTTTACATAGCTGAAATTTGTTATTACAGCGTGTGCTAAGGTCATAGGCAAGTCTTTTAAAAGCAACCTAAACCTGTTCGTGCTATGAAAGGTGCATCCATAAATTGAGAACAATTTAAAACCCCCATAGATCTGGTATAAAGAAACTAGCTGCTTGCTTTCTTCCCCTTCAAACACAGATGGTGTTGCTACTTTGTGGTGACTTAGTGCAGGTTGAATTTAATTGGCTGCATAACTCAGGATGTGCAGTTGCTTGAAAAAAGTCAAAAGTCTTAATTTATGGTTTATCATAGTTGACTGGCTTTTGCCCAAAATGAATGTCTGTATATCTTTTCAATTAGTGTCCTGTAATTTCTGAATCACTGTAGAATATTCAAAATTGCAGATTGATTAGAAATGGTATCTTTAGAGCATTCTGTACTCATTCATTTAACACTTCAGTAATCTGCAAATAAGCTAATACTTTAAGGACTATTTAACAACTTTTTTTAATCCTGTGAGAGAATCCTTGTTTCTTATATATAATTGTCTGTTTTGTTCCTGGATGGTCAGTATTGACATGAGCATGTCAAATTTTATTGACAGAACTGCTTCTTGAAACTAAAGAATATTTATTGCAAGAAAGAAAACTCAAGCTAGGCAATATTGTCAGCGTTCATGTTAGACATTTATAATTCCAAAGAGACAGTTTGGAAAATTTTCTGTAGAGCTAGATTTATCTTACGTATTCATCTGAGTTTTCTTTTTTCTTTACACAATTTATTTTAAAAGAATAAAACCCTATGCACATTACTGTGAATGAACATGAAGGTACAGATTTGCTGCTATAGACTCATTTGAGATTTCAGTTCTGTTGTCTTTTTAATTTCTATATACTTTCTCCTTTTTATTTCCCATTGGTTTAAGTTCATGGTAAAATGAGCAGCATGTGCTTTCTGACAGTGAAATTCCTGAATGTGTTGGCATGGAATTGCAGTAATGTGTTGTGGCTTGGGCCCCTCGCAGGAGTGTATCTCGCAGTCAGCCGTGAAAACCAAGTTTGAACAGCACACTATCAGAGCTAAACAGATAATAGATACTGTGAAAAACATTATGGACGCCATAAACGTAGCAGCAGCAGAGAAAAGGTAGGTTGGTTGGAGGGCTGGTTGGCTTTGGTTTATCCAGATCCTCTGAGGAGCCATTTCTGCGCTGGTGATTTTCTTGGGCCATTATGGACTTTAAAATTCACTTTTCTCGCTTGGTAAGAAATAGAGAATTTCTCTGGTGTGTTAGTCTTACTACTCTTCACTTGCACCGCTCAGTCTTGTCCTTGGTCTGTGACTTCTGTAGAGGGATCTTGGTTTATTTTGCTATTCTTCATTACCTACTTACAGTTACACAGGCAGTCTGTGGGTTTTCAAAACTTTTTTCAAAAATACTTGAGATTTTAAGTTTTTCTGGCTGTATCCAGCATTTCAGCAGTGATGTTCGGGCCTACTTTACCTAAGTTTTTTGTTAACATTAACACTGAGAAAATAAATGGGAGGATGTAGGCACTTCAATTTGCAAGTGGTTAGAATACTGTAAGGGATGAGAAGAGCCCAAGCTAACAGAGGCTTGGCCTCCGGCCTGTTCCAGATTGTATCCTTAAATACCTTTATTCTCTCTTTGCTCATGTAATCCTTTTAGTGCTAATGATAGCAGCTCACCTACTCTGTCTGATAGTTTCATATATTCTTTGAGGTTTGCATATGTATGGTTTCTTCCCCTCAGTTTTGTTGCTACCTCTTGTACACGGTGAACTTGCTGTCGTGTTTAATCCTTTCCACCCATCTCCTTTCTGTGTCTGTTAACAGTGTGTCTTTATGTTTCAGACTCCACTGTGCCTGTCAAACACACTCATCTTCCTGATTATACCAGCTTTTACTAACTGCGTGTTTATATACTAACTTGTCTCACGTTGTCAGATCCTATTAAAACATGCTGTGAAATGTTTGAAAATATTCTGATATTCTACTTCTTTCTGTCAATCGACCTGCCAAAACCTGTGTAGTGACCCCTCTTAATCTGAATTGCTCTTTGATGTTTCTGCTGGCCCTTCAAGATATAACTGCTTTAGGTTTTAAGCAATTTTTACTTAAATGATAGGTCGAGGACTTCTGAAGAGAGTTGTTTGTGACAAGGTTAGTTTCTGCCGCCTCCCCTTCGCTTTGCAGGGTCATCAGACCCATGTCACTGTTAAGGAATAGTTCAGTGGTGCTGGTGAGCAGCAGTAGGACAGTTTGATCAGATTTATCCTTTTGCTTTTTTTTAATTTTTAAATCAGGATAGACTAAGTATTAAAGGCCCCTGATTCCCCCCACCTTTTTTAGTTGTAATTATGTACGATGGTAATAATTCCAACTCCACATTCTGGCTTTGTAAATGTATCAAAACCCAGTAATTTGAGTCATGTTCGATCAGTGCAGCCTTTAAATGCACCTGTAAATTTAGTATCTCTATTGCAGTCATTCTGAAGCAGTGCCTCTGCCTTGTTCAGCCAGTGTCACTTTGGATTCTTTTGGCTGCTCAGTAAACCGTCAGCTAGGTGGTCCATGCCTGATTATGGGGCTTGTTTCGTTCCTGGGAGAATACCTGCTGGTGATGGTGATTTCCTTTCTGCTATGTTAGAGTCCATTCAATGGAAGAGCGAGAAGATCAGAAGGATAGATTGGACTTTGTTCGAAATCAGCTGAACATTTTGACAGAAGATACTAAGGAAAAAATCAAACGTGTTACTGAGGAAGTGGAAAATAAAGTAAGTAATGGCAGTGTGAAAAATCTCCCAGATTCAAGTGTTGTCTCTTCTGTAAGGCAGCTCCTTTAGGTGCCCACCCACCTTATGAAGTACATTTGAAATGTCCAGTATGTTCCTTTTCCAATATTTAAAAAAAAAAAAAAAAAGGAAAAAACCCTTCAAAATGGCAATCCTTTCTGACTGTCAGGTAATTGAATCATTTATTGTAACAGTTAATGCAGTGGTCTGTTTTCACTCTGGCTGGGAAAGGTAGGAGAAATGTTTTATGTATTTACCACATTCTTCCAGGTCTCCTCTGCCATGACTGATGAGATTTGCCGACTTTCAGTTTTAGTTGATGAATTTTATTCAGATTTTCACCCTTCTCCTCAAGTATTGAAGCTCTATAAGACAGTAAGTTTTCTTGCATGGTTTGAAGCCAGAGACTTTGTCTTTCCTTTAATTTCTACTTCGGTATTTTCATAATTTGCGTAGCGTTTTATGTGACACTTTGTTTAAGCATTGCAGGATTTTTGCTTTCTGACACACGCAGATCTCTGTTTACCTAGAACTGGAAAAGGTTGAAAATATTTTCTGCTTTGTTTTTGGAAAGAAATTAATTTTTGTTTCAACTGTCCTTTTACTAGAGTGGTTACTGAAACTGACATCCTGATTTGTAGTCTTCACTTCTAATAAATAAAGACCTTACATAAACAATTTTCACCACTCCTAAAATAAAATAGATCAAAAAATAAAATGAGCTTGCAAATACCCAACACTTTATAGTTCTTTTTAATTTTTTTTAAAGAAAAAAGGTGGTTTTTATTAAACTTCTATAAATTCCTCGTCAAACTTAGTATTTTAACGGAGCGTACACCTGTGAGTTTCATCTTTTGCCTCTTACGCTCAGATTTTGCTGCTAATGAATGACTGCCATAACTCCCACCTGTTTCAGCCTTGTTGATCCACTGGGAGCGCTGCATTTTCAGGACAGTCTGTGCTGTCCTGGCTATGCAAAATGTCCAGAGCAGACCTCTGTGGGAGTTGATGGGATCGGTTTAACTTTGTGCAAAGCAGTGAAATTGGCTCCCGTCAAATGATGACAGTAAAGGCTTTGCAGGGCAGTATGCTAGTGGTATGCTTCTCAGTGTCACAGTTTATTGAAAATACAGACTTTTCTGTATGCCTTTGAATGATTAGTCCTAGAGAAATCTTTCCTGTGTCACTTTAATTAGGTTTTCAGTCACAGTGTGCAATTTAAAAGCACAGTATTTCCATGGTAACATGCTTTTCTTCCCACTGTAAATAACAATGCTTAGTGTTCAACATATCTCTGCAATTGATTAGCTAAATATAAATTGATGAGCATATATTCTTTATAAACCTTCAGGAACTGAACAAACATATAGAAGATGGTTTGGGAAAGAACCTGGCTGATCGTTGCTCCAGTGAAGTCAATCAGTCGATGCATCAGTCGCAGCAGGAGATGATTGGTAAGATGAGGAAGGAGGAATGTTAAGACTTTTTGTTTAGAGGAAGACAAGAAAACTTGCTTTTAAAAGAATTTTCTTTCTGATCGTGACTTAATGTTAACACTATAAAATGATAAAGGAAAAGCCATCCTAGATCAAGACTGAGTGTCTGTTCAGCTTAGTAGCCTGTCTCTGATATTAACCAGCAACAGATGCTTGGGGAGAAGAATAATGAACCAGGGTAAATATAGTGATCCGTCCCCAATTTAGGGACTTCTGAGCCAAGATACTGCATCTGGATTAATGGCTTAAGCAAGTAGTAATGGACCTGTCCTGTGGGAACTTGTCTAATCTTTTTATAAACCCATTTAAACTTTTGGCTTCCACAACAGATATATGAAATACACTAATTGTTAGATAATGTTTCTGCAGTATAATCCTCTCCCTAGGTCCCTCCAGATTCTGAGTGCAAAACAAGATAGTTTCACAAAGTATTTGTGCACTCCATTTTTTCTTTTTTCTTTTTTTTTTTTAATAAGTAGTAACTTTATTGCATATCCATATCTCTCTTCTGATCTGTTTCTGGTAATAAAAGATTCGGAGCAAGATCCTTGAATTACGTGAAGGCTTCTGTCATCTTATGCAATAATGTTTCCTTCTCTGTATGGCACCACAGAACTGCTGGATAAACCAACTTTTTCTTAGTCCATCCTTATCTTTTGACCGCTGATAGAGGTCTTTCAGTTAATTTGACCATTTTTTCCAGCTGTGCTTTCTCTGTGACTTGATTTTGCATGACTGTTTTCTTTTATCAGAGCAATAAATTGCCTGCTCTGTTAGGATCAATACTGCTAAAATGCCCACTGCTTTTACAAATAAATAAGTAAGTTGGTCAGTTTAGATTCTTGTAGTTCACAAAGCTGGTCAGCAGTGCAAGGATGCTACTTGTGAATATGCTGTGAAGCTTTTAATGTTAACTTGTCTTTACTATTCTGTTTTATTTCTAGAAAATCTGAAACCATTGTTGCCTTCTGGTGCTCAGAATCAGCTCCACTTGCTAATTCCATGCAGGAGGTTTGACCTTAGCTATGATCTAAACTGTCATAGTCTGTGTGCAGATTTTCAAGAGGATATCATGTTCCACTTTTCTTTGGGATGGACTTCACTTGTAAACCGTTTCTTGGGTCCTAAACAAGCTCAGAGAGTACTATTGGGACTAGCAGATCCAAATTTACAAGTGAGTGCTTGATTAGGCCAATGTTTTAAGTGCCTTGTTTTACCTTGATGAGAATATATTGGTTTTTACTGTATTTGCCTCTACTATTTACATGCTTGCTGCTACTTTCCCCTAGTCCCTTTGTGTGAAATATTTTTGGTGAGGGTTGTTTTTATTGGATTATATTCAGGGTGAGAATGGAACAAAATCTTTTCCTGAACTTTCTGCAGCTGTTATCTGAGGTTTGTTTTCCTTTGGATTGAACCCTTTGGGTAACCTTTTCATTTGTAACTTTTGGATCCTCACAGCAGAGCCAGTCCTATGTAGAACCCTTGTTCTAACCCAGTCCCTGTTGGGCAAGGAACTGTCAAAACCTCCACTGCTTATCAGGAGCATTGTTCAGACTTCTGTGCTGAAGAGTTTCCCTGAAGTAAATCAAACCCTGAATATATGAAAATAAAACCAGTCTGCTGTGTAGTTCCTTAATGCTTTTTACTCAGGCTGCCATATTCCACTCTTCTAGATCCCTCATCCTTTACCTACCACCCCGCCTGCTGCCAGCCTTCCTGCCGTAACTCCAGAGAACGTATCGCACGATGATTTTATGGTTCCTTTGGTAATGAGTTTAGCTTCACTGACATCACGGACCTCTATGAGCATCATCGTTGTTGGCGGAGTGGCAAGTAGTATTAGCAACATTCACTGTACTAGAAGCGATGGCAAACATTAAGCTGGTCTTTCCTGTTTGGGGTGCAACATGAAGCATGTGATGGACTTAATTAATAACACTGGGCCGGATGAGCGCATGTATGCTGGATACCCGCAGTCAGTGTGTAGTGCGAAAATTAGTCTAATGACTCTGAGCATAGTTGGACGTATTCTCTATGCCATATGTCTGTGTTCAGTTCCTGAATTAAAGGATTATTTGATGGTGCCTCATTCAGTTTGGATTTAGCGGGAGCTTTGCTTTCTCCTTCCTCCTTCATTAAAAAGCAGCGAGGCTTCTGTAACCTGTATATTCTCCATGCCGCTGGGATACCAGCTCATTTGAACGTAGCTGTATTGCTCCGCAATAATAATACGGAAATAATACATTTTCTTAAACTAATCTGGTGAAATGGCCATGAAGATGATTAAAAAAAATGGGTGGAATTAGATTTTATTCTGTAGGGCAACTTACTTCAACTAATGAAGCATCCTCTTTTTCAGATTTGGAGAACAGTAGGCTGGAAACTCATCTCCCTTTCCTTAAGTATGTATGGGTTGTTATATCTTTATGAGAGACTAACTTGGACCACTAAAGCAAAAGAGAGAGCCTTTAAACAGCAGTTTGTAAACTATGCTACTGAAAAGCTGCAGATGATCGTCAGTCTTACAAGTGCTAATTGCAGCCATCAGGTGCAACAGTAAGTATCACACTGGTGTTTCCCCTGGCTGGGATAGGAAATCCATGTCAGTGCGGTACTGCGGTGTCCTGGGAGTGGGGACTGGCTGTACATGACGTGGGAAGGCAGCTTCGGTATCCCTTGGCATTTATTACGAGGGACTTTTAAAAGAGTTTGAAATTACCACCTGAAAAGGTCAATACATCCATCTCTGTGTGTGTATGAGCAAGAGTTAGTCTTAAGATGTAGACTCTCTTTGTCCAGCACCTTACTATGAAGACGTGGGAGTTGGCTCAGTTCTAGGGGAGGCTGAATTGGTCCGCTTTTAGTTTAGCGTTGAATCAGCCCCGAGTGACTTTAATGGTGAGCATTTGTTCTGCCTCAAGGGTTGGTGTGGGTGAGTTCTAAGCAGCCGGTCCTGGCTCTTCTGCACTGCAGAAGGGGAACTTGAGAGCCTTTCTGAACGGTTCCATTTTTTTTTGTGTCTCTTTTTCCCAAATACTTTTCCACCTGTCTCTGCAAAGTAATGTCTGGGTGATTGTCTCCCTCAGTCTCTCCTGTTGAAACTGTTTTGATTAAATTATTATTTCAGAAAATTAGGCCTGCTAAATGAGTCCTCTAACCACCAGGGTGCAGAACACCTCTCCTGTGTAGCCCAGGGAATACTTTGCTAATACAAAGTTCAGCTTCAGCAGAGGAAAGAGAATCGTCCCCGTGTCCAGCAGCTGTGTGTCTCTGTGAGGACATGGAAGAGCTGGACTCAAACCAATGCTCCAGTGAGGTGAAGTAGAGAGGAGAGGAGACATCTCTCCTATGGGAAGCTCTCCCATAGGTTGCTGGCCTGGGGTGGTAACTGGGTGTTTTTTCTTTGTGTAAGGAGGAGCCTTGGAACTCAGGTTGGGAGCCCGTGGCTGAGGGGGCAAGTAGGATCGGGTGCCTCAGCAAGTCTGGGGCACTCCTCACCCTGCGAAGCGCTCACGTTTCCTGTGAGCAGGGCGCTTAGCATGGCACGGGGCACTGCACGAGGGGGCAGTTGGCTGCTCTAGCTCGTGTTGCTGCCAGAGTCCCCATCTCAGACTCGTACCTGTTGGTGCTCAATGAAGAATTGCCAGACGTGATGTTGGCATAGACTGAGGTGCATTTTGTATGTTTAAGGTTTCTTTTTTAAATTTAAAAACAATACATAATTCTCCTGCTTTCTGCTATTCTATAATCCCTTAACAGCTGGAAACTTCGATTGCTGTGTTCTACTGCACACTGCAATGCCATGTGATTTATTTACTTATTTAATTTTCTTCTTGAATTTTTTTTGTGGCACAGACTTCTGTGTTTACACAGACTGTAAACCATGATTACAAACTTGTTTTCCCTTTAGGGAAATGGCCACTACCTTTGCTCGGCTCTGTCAGCAGGTGGATATTACCCAGAAAAACCTGGAAAAAGAAATTGCTAGGCTTTCCAAAGAAATAGATCAGTTGGAGAACGTCCAGAGCAACTCCAAGCAGCTAAGGTAAGTCTGGGTGTGACTGGCCACAAGCCAGTTCAGCGAGATTGGTGCTTGCTGCTACTTTCAAGTTGAAATGAGGTAGGCACGGGTGCAGAACGGTACGCAGCAACACCTGTTTTCTTTACTTGTAACTGAACAGCTCTGGTTAAGTTAAATAAATGTATGCTTCTACCTAGGTGAATGAGCAAAGCTCCCAAAATATTCTTAGATCGTCTTTACCTTTGTCTCTCTTTATTGTATGGGGGAGGTGGCTTTCTCAAGAATATTGATCCTCTGTAGGTAAATTACAGCGGCACCTTCCCAAAGACCCCTCCCCATAGGAGAACACAAGAGCAGCTGTGCTGCGTTGAGTCATTCAGTGCAATACCGTTTTTCTTTCAGTACCAGTAGTAGCTGTTTACAGAAGAGAAACTTCCAGCAATTGGTGGTTTAGGGCCTTAGAAGCAGCCTCAGCCTTGGTTTCATGTTCTTTCCCCCCTGCTCTAAGTCTGCCCTGGCTGTGGGCTGCCTCTTGGCCGCGGGCATTCAAGGCCACGACTGGATGAACGTCTAGCCCCACAGTGCACACCCCGGGGCACGGTACGCTGCCCGAGCGGCCTGTGGGAGGAACCCTGCTGAATGCCCTCCTTGCAATTGCAGAAACTCTCCCAGGTTAAACACTGAAAGGAAAGGCCGGGACCAGGGACGTCCCGGATGGACCTGGCACAGCCTTTGGGGAAAAGGAGACGTGGGGCAGACAGCTGGCGGCCTTCTACTGCGCGGTCAGGGCCCGCACTCGCAACGCCCGAGGCTCTGGCCAGAGCACACGTTTAGGTTTTCTTAGTGCTGTGGGTTTCAGGAATAGAGGAATAGAAATTAAACACTGATGTTGCTTCTGCCTTCTTTGTGATGTTACTGCACTGAAGTAAATCCGTTGCTTTTGTTTGTTTTACAGAAATAAAGCCATTCACCTTGAGAATGAACTAGATCGCTTTACAAAACATTTTCTTCAAAAGAGTAAATAAAACGTCGTTGCTACCTTTCCTGGTGATCCTTTGTAGGACAGAGTAGAAATTTTACAGATGACACTTCTCCTCTGTGGAGTCACATGAAATGATTTCTATTTTAAATGTTACTTTGATTACACTTGTTAATTATTGTAAAACTTGGTTTGGACTCTGATGGTGAACCAAACTGAAGAGCTGTGGTACTCTGTTACGTTTGTTTTGCAGATTTTGAGTTAAAAATTATCTTTAAGCACTAAATTTCTTTGGGCGCTTGACAATAAAAACCCCAATCCTTATTGGTTTTCGTTAGTATTTAGCAGCGGCAAGCCTCGCTTCCCGGCAGCCAGGGGTTTACGCAGGGAGAGCGAGCTTATCGCAGTTAGCACCGTCTCCTGTTTTCAGTTGCTTAGGAATTAGCCAGGGATGGAGGATGCTGCTTTTTCACGGGTGCGTGTTTTTGTTTGATGAAGGGAAGGATAAACTCCAGCATGGGGCAAGGACTCTGTTTTGAAAGCAAGTGAAATTGGGTTGGGCAGCACTTCCTCAAATGGAAGTGAAAGACGATAGTAAACTGCAGAGCATTCACTGCTGAAACGCAGTAGGCTCTAGTTTCCCCTCTGGCTACCATATTTAGACAAGATGGCACTGATAGAGTAAAAATAAACCTATTTCAACAAGCTTGTCAGATTTCCCGCAGTTGGTAAAGTGGGGAAATGGTCGTTTGTCCACGAGACCACTGCTAGAACCCAGGGGCAGGAGAGCTGCAGGTGTGTGTCACTGCCATCAGGCCAGCACCCAGGCGAAGGAGAGTTAGCTGAGTAGATGGGCTCGACTCAATTTTTGCTCGTTGGGTGGGGAAGCTTAGGGCGTTGAGCAGCTACTGCTGGATTCACAGAGCGGGGAGAGGCTGGGTTTGACAGCTTTTACCCGTGCAGTATCTCGAGCAGTCCCTTGGTTCTGCTGTAGACCAGGTCTCTTCCAGGTGAGACTTAAGGCAGGTGTGCTGGAGTAGTTGACCTTTGCTCACCTCCAGCAATGCAAAGCCTCTTTTAAAAAAAAAAAAAAAAGTTTTTGCTGTTGCCATCTGCAATCATTTGACACCTACTTTTTTCTAACTTGACTTTTTAAAACTAACTTATTTTAAAAGAGAAAGCCTTTTTGGAATATTTATATATTTTTATGGAAGTGTTAACACGGCTAAATGAAATATTCAACTTTAAAACTAAGATGTAGGGATTTGCTATTTTCCAGTCGCTAAGGGCTATCTTAAAAGGAAATAGATCTAAAATCCAACGCTAGAGGCAGTTAATTATTTGGAGACAAAGAACACTTTTCACCACAATGTCTTTTGGTGTTTGTTTCTGACTGTGCTGGCACAAGCGTGGCTCTCTGGGGACTTTCGTTAGCAGCGTGCGTGAGGAGTCTCAAGGCTGTTGAGGGAAACTGAAATGCAAAAACGAGTAACGGTCCAGCCTTCTTGTGTACGAGGGTACAGACGTGTATTAATGCTCTTTTTCTGGAGCATTTGTATGGACATTGTATGGAGATAAAACTTTATGTGCATGTGTTCTACAGTTATTTATTAAAACAAATACCACCCCTTTGCTCTAGTGAGTTATTGGGTTTGACAGCTTTTACCCGTGCAGTATCTCGAGCAGTCCCTTGGTTCTGCTGTAGACCAGGTCTCTTCCAGGGGGAACTTAAGGCAGGGTGTGCGGGGAGATTTGCCCTTTGCCCCCCCCCCACAATGAAAACCCTTTTTTAAAAAAAAAAAAAAAGTTTTTGCTGTTGCCATCTGCAATCATTTGACACCTACTTTTTTCTAACTTGACTTTTTAAAACTAACTTATTTTAAAAGAGAAAGCCTTTTTGGAATATTTATATATTTTTATGGAAGTGTTAACACGGCTAAATGAAATATTCAACTTTAAAACTAAGATGTAGGGATTTGCTATTTTCCAGTCGCTAAGGGCTATCTTAAAAGGAAATAGATCTAAAATCCAACGCTAGAGGCAGTTAATTATTTGGAGACAAAGAACACTTTTCACCACAATGTCTTTTGGTGTTTGTTTCTGACTGTGCTGGCACAAGCGTGGCTCTCTGGGGACTTTCGTTAGCAGCGTGCGTGAGGAGTCTCAAGGCTGTTGAGGGAAACTGAAATGCAAAAACGAGTAACGGTCCAGCCTTCTTGTGTACGAGGGTACAGACGTGTATTAATGCTCTTTTTCTGGAGCATTTGTATGGACATTGTATGGAGATAAAACTTTACGTGCATGTGTTCTACAGTTATTTATTAAAACAAATACCACCCCTTTGCTCTAGTGAGTTATTTGGCAGCTGTATCAAAGGTGAAAACCTACACCATAGCTCTCCTACATGTAATGCACATCCAGGAGAGGACGTAACCCCTGAGGCTGAATTAAAAAAGCTGCTTCCTGCAGCAGAGAAGCAAGCTGTGCACTCCATGTGGCAGTATTGGTCAGCTAAATCCTTTGGTTTCGGAGAAAATAAATAATGCTACAGCCTTAAAAAAGGGAGGTGAAGGTGTCTGCGCCTTTAGGGAGCGTGGCATTGTGCAACAGCAACTCTCATACCGAGAACGAGTGAGTGTTCTAAGGCCTAATTTGTTTCCAGCCCGGGACTGGTGGCTAACTTCCAGCCCCCTTCCCTGCAGGCTGAACACGCCTCCCCCCTTTCTCAGGCAGAAAACATACAAAGAGCTCCTGCTTTGGGGAAAACAAAAATCACCTGAATTATTTGTTCATAAGGGCAGTTTTCTTGCATAATGTTTTGACACTGTTGACGTTCAGTGTCACAGGAAGAATCTTGATCTTTAGGCCAGGGGACACCCGTTATTACAGCACCAATAAAACATTCACAAGTGACGCGGTCTGGTTAAAAGCACTTGTTTATTGGTTACAATATCAAGTCATGGCAACATCTTTCACTGAGCCACTGTACAAATACAAAGAAAAAGATCCATCGTGGAAAAAAAAGCGCTATAAACGGAGTTCATAGCAAGTGATTTTTTTTTTTTTCACAGGGAAGTCTTTTTACAACAGCACTGTTAAAGAACAAATGGCACAAGTCCCTGGTTTTTTTTAATAGCTTAAATAAAAGCTTTAAGACTGTTTCTGAATACATACACAATCCAAAGGCAGTGCAGAATCACTTCATAATTGGTAACATTACCAAAGTTTTCCAAAGTAGTCGGCAACAAGTAAAAAAAAAAAAAAAAGGAAAGAAACATAGGGATGAGAAACGCTGGAAACCAAAGGCAAGTTATAATCGAGCATGTTTAGAAGCATTTTGTTTTGGACTCCTTTGGATGTAATACGTACTACAAGTGTTCAGATGCTTTTATTTAAAAAAAAAAAAAAGGAAAAAAACACAAGTAGAGCACCATCGTGTAAGTAAAACAAAGGCTTGAAATAGATACCTAAGACTATTCCACCGAAGTCCATATTAGTTAAAACCTAAACATACTGTGTGGTATAAGAATGTCAGGCACATGTAATCTGTTATCAGTTATATCAATTAGTAACACTGTTCACACATTTACCATAACAACACTGCATTAACATTCTGCATGTATTTTACATAACCAGCAATTGGATAAAAAGGCTTGTGGTGCCTCTGAAGTGTAGGAAGTAGTTTACCAGCATGCATGCCAGATTACTGTATACAAAGTGCACCATCAACCCATGCTTAATTACTTTTACAGGAAATGCTATCTCAAAAATCAGTCATTCTGCTACACAACCATTTATACCAACTAGTTGAATTAGCCAACAACTCTCACCAACATCTTAAAGCACAGCACTAAACCTAGTGGAGGTGACAGTGTCCTCAAAGAGGAAAGACTAAGCACTCTTGGAATGTTGCACAATGTTTTCATTCCACCTTAAAGTAATGTGAACTTCATTGTGGGACAAGCGGTTACACTAACTGAATTAAAGAGTTAACTATTTCCAACCCATGCATTACAGTAAGCACACTAGGACCAGCTGTTACATCAATTCAGCTTTGCCAAGTCAAGGCCAGGCCCTCTCCTTAGGCGGGGGAAAAGCCTATTTAATCCACGTTCCACTTCAAACGGTACATATTGTTGTCATACATTGAACTATCAGTTCTGCCAGATACTGCGACGTATCTGCAATTTAGCAAGGCAGAGGATAGCGACGTTTGTTGGGAAGAACGCTCTGGAGACGGGTGGAAACAGGCCCACGTTACTGGAGTAAGCGAGTATACATCAGCAAGATGCCACGTAGAAGCTTTTTTGTGGTTTCCAGAATCTCACCCAGTATCTCTACCAATAAATGGATGTCCGAGTCTACATGGGAACAAACCCAAGTTGGGTGCTTGCCTGATTAGTATTCTCTATTGCAACCTTAAATCAACATTAGAAAACGCTGACCAAAAACTGCACCCGAATGAACTAAATCTCGTTACAGAAAGCACATAGTTCCACTTTCCGAGCCATCACCAACTGACTTTTTAGAAGAGAGGCAGGGAAGAAGAAACATTGCTACTGTTCTTAGTTACTCCGTTTCTGTAATTACGCGAGCTACCTGAACTTCAGGTAATGATGCAGTTGGCAACAAACTTTTAAAGACAGGGATGTACCCGCTAGCGCTGCGAAGTCTGCTGCACAGCGAGCGAGTTTGCGGTCACGGTGCACAGTTAGAAATCACACAAGCTGCATACTTGAGCCTACGTTAAACTATAGGCACGTACCATTTTCTTAGAGATTCAGAGCTGGGAATAAAACCTTTTAAGCAAAACCTATGAAGGGTTGTCTTATTACCTCCCTCATATTAGGAGGAGTTTGAGCTTTTACCGTTAAAAGCGCATCCATTTTAGTAAGGGCATCAATCTTGAAAGGTCACGGACAGCCGTTTAAAAAAGGAAATACCACAGCCTGTGCAAGTTCATTATTTGGCCTCGTATAATAACAATGTGTTACAGTACATCGTAGGCTTTAAAAAAAATAAACAAACAAACTATATCCAGGACAGTAACTAACCAG